ACGAGTCATGTTATCCCTCTTTTTAAATCGTTGATGGGCAACTAACGATGAGGACCAAATTGATTGTTATTAAAATATTTAAAATTTATTTTGATTTATATATTTTCAGTTTTGGTTCATTTTAAGTCATTGTAATTTTAACTTTCTTTTAGAACATCTGATTTAATTTTTATACTCTTAAAAAATGATTATTCTAGTTCTTGTTTTTAAAATTTTAACACAAATTTATATACAATTCAAACTGTTTAACAAGTTTGGCTACATGAAAAGTGGGTTTAAAAAAAGGAAAGCAAAAACATGAAACTTTTCAAAAAAAAAAAACATAAAAAGCAGGTCGGGGTCGTTTAAAAGGTAATTAAATATTCACGTTTCTTTTATATATATATATATATAATTAATTGAAAATTAAAAAGTAATTTAAAATAAACAACTTGGGATACCTTGAAAAGAGGGTCATTTAAAAAATTAAAAGTGGTTAGGAATTTGAGAACTCCCAGAGGCGTTGGGCTGTCTGAAGTGAACTTTGTGAAATTTGTATTTGGAGTACAGCTTTAGTAAAACATGGTTTTCAATTGGACTTAATTTCAATTATTTTCTGAATAATTTTGGAATGAATTATTGGATTCCACCCATTTTCAATTTTACTGAAGTTAGATCTTTTTCTAAAAAATGTTTAAATAAAATACTCTCTCTCTTTTTTTCTCAAGTCAAAAATCTGTTTCTATCCCCCTCTCATATTAAGATTGGACTCGAGTTCCCATTTAATTATATTTTCTTTTTAGCAACATTTAATTATATGAAATAATCAATTAGTAGATATTTTGATCGTAACAACTATTAGAAAGTTGACAACTATCTAATCTTAAAAAAAAAATTCTCTATTTTCTCTCTTTCTTTATATGCATTCCTCTCATTCTCAAACGGTGATGAGTAGGAGATACAAATTTTCCAATCGATATCCAAGTATTATACTTATTTTTTTATGGTTGGTGAGCTTTAAAAAATAAATATTTTGATGTAATGAATTAATTATTTTAAGAAATAGAGAAAGTATATTATATAGGATAAATTTAATATGTATTTTAAGGGTGGGTGTGTCACAATTTTCCATTGTTTTCAAATATAGCATTTATTGTGTTATATATTACATTTGAATATAAGTTTGATTCGGACAATGTTATGTTTGTAAAATTTTAAACTCCTCTACTATATTTATAAATACATGTCTATTTTATACTATTTATATAAATGTCACTAAAAAATAACTACTCTTGTTATTACTACTACTTTTTTGTACTAATATCTGTGAATATTATCTTTGTAAATTTAATATGGACGTAGCACATGCACATATCAATAGTTAATGACGTTACGAAGTTATGTTATTCATTTGTCTAAATAATTGATGTGTTATTCATTTGTCTAAATAATTGATGGAAACTAGTGACAGAGGATCAAAATGATTATTTCTTAAATATTTAAATACTACTTTGATCTATGTATTTCTGGCTTTGATTCATTTTAATCTACGTACCTTTAAATTAAAAGGTCTGTTTTAGTTTCAGTACTTATAAAAAGTCGTTATTTTGGTCCCTATGTTTAAAATTTTGACACAAAATTATACACTAGAGATTTGAACCCATGCCCTCTAGATTAAAAATTAGGTATACCACCACTGTATCATAGTAGTAATTTTGTACCATTAAAGTATATGTTGTGTCTTGGCAAAATTATAAAAATAAAAAAATAAAAAACATGGCGCCAGTAATCCGCCATGCAACCCAAAAATTGTGAAGTAGAATGGTCGCAACCTATAATTTTCCAAACATTATTTTTTATTTGGAATAAGTTTAAAATGGAGCATTATTAAAAATAAAATTCCCATAGAAGAGCCTAACTTTTCAATTATTCTTTGCCCAGTTGTTATTCAGTCCTACTCCCAAAAAGAAAAAAAATAAAAATAAAAGTGGGGTTAGTGAGTATATAAGATTATATGTAAATTAATAATTAACATTTGCATTAAAAAATCAATAATTAACGTTAATTAATAGGTAAGTTAATTAGTAATTGTTATGATTAAATTAATCACCAACTAGTTTATCATCATAGAGTATCGCATCAATTAAAATAAAAACACACTAATTATTATTTATTAAATTCATCCATGATTAATTATTCATGTTTTTAATATATCTTTCCAAAATTGAAAGGAAGACAAATGAATGCCTTAAAACCATTTTTTAAATCCTACTTTATTCTTCAAAGTTTCACTTCGTTTTATGTTAGTCTCTAAATTATATTGCATTTTAGTTTCAGTACTTGATATAAATTCGTGTCATTGATTTTTTAATAAAGTATTTAACGAAAACCTAACATTTAACATAGACACATTGTTGTAATATAAAATATATATAAACATATTTTTTTGGTTCATTTACTTAATCAATAGACCTACGCAACAACGTTTTTTTTAGTAAAACAAATTATTGAGGACATGGAAGTTTGAATTTCGGACCTCAAGGAGAAGAATCCAATTATCACTTAGCTATATGTCCAACAAAAGTGTTTGATTTTTTTTTCTTTTAATTTTTTGTTCAACAATTGTAAGGGTGTGGGGCCCAACTATTAGCCACAGAAATGGTAAATAATCCAAGTGTTTAAAGTTAAATGTAATAGTCTAGATTATATTATTAAATATGTTATTAAATAGAGTTTATATTATATTATTTGAATTAGATATTATTGTTTGGATTATATTATTTGAATTATGATTTGGGATTATATTAGTATAAATAGGTCATTAGGTTTTTATCTTAACATGCGTTTAATAATTACATGGTCGTTTATGTATTTATTTATTTTTTTTAATTTTCTCTTCTTCCCTAAAATTAACATGTATCAAAGCAATCGGGTTAACCATATGAATGACACTATGGAAGAGCATAAGAAGGAAGGTTACGAGAGGATGATTCGACTCAATTTTGATGTTTAGTCTGTAAAGAAGTTTATTCGACTTAGTTTTGATGATTTGTCTATGAACATGGCATCTGGAGAGTTGAACAAGTTGGATTCATACTTTCACTGCAGGAATTTGCATTGGTTGTTAATTGGAATTTGCATTTCCATTGGTTTTTGAAATTTGCATGGGTGGTTCTGAGTTGGAATTGGCATTTGGTTGTTGTTGGAATTCGTTTTGGATTTGGTATCGACTTTGGAGTTGGTTTTGGTTTGGCAATGATTTCGATTTGGTTTTCGTTTTAGTTTTGGTTTTAATTTTGGAATTGGTTTTGGTATTGATATTCACATTTAACATTGGCATTAGTGTTCGCATTGGTATTAGCATTGATGATATTGCCATTGGTATAGGTAGTGATACTGGTATTAACAACATTGGTATCGACTTCGGCATCGGAATCTACGTTTATTCAACAAAACGCACAATTTAGCATTTGAATAGATTAGGTTCGTTTGTTCGATTTCTTTGTTTTAGGAGATGTAGAGAAGTCGATGAAGTGGATCCACCCGCCAACTTAAGAAATCTGAGACCTCTTGTAGGAGCAAAGCCACTTACTGAGTTTACGAGGGGAAAGAGTGAAGCTGCTTTATTGAGTTTACGAGGGTAAGGAACGAAGTAGCTTGAATGATAGTTTTTTTATATCATTTGAATTAGATATAGTCAATTATATTATTTTAATTAAATATCATTTGAATTACATTTAGTTTAGAATATATCATTTGAATTAGATTTACCATTTGAATTATAGTTTAGGATTATATTTGTATAATAGATCATTAGGTTTCTATGTTAACATGGCAATCGATTCAATGAAGCCCTAATCGTTTATGTTTTCTTTCTATTTTCTCTCATGTCTTAAAATTGACAATATCGAAATTTTAAATGTATTTATGCTCTCGTTAAATTTATTAAATTTTGAGATTCAAATTAGAAAAGATTTTTATGCTAAGATTAGACAGTAGAAGTAAAATATTTAAAGCTAATAAACTAATATAGAGAAACAAACTATTTGAGAGTTACACAAAAACCAACCAAATAAATGTGAGAAATGAGACCAAGGAAAGGGATTGTTTTTTTTTTTAAATGATTAAAGAAATAAATTAGCCTCTTCAATTTTTTATTATTGCAACAAACATGAGGCATAGAGATTTTCTGAACCTCAAAAAAAAAAAAAAAGGAAAAAAAATAACCTGTGTGTAATAATTAAACTCATGAGATTGCTTAAAGCATGAGGATACCATGGAGATCCGTATCTCACAGCTCGTGCTGCGTTTCCTGTTGACCTTCCATAATGTTATTAATTGTGAGTTGGTATTTCTCCATAAACAAAAATAATATATCTATATTGAGCTGGTAAGATTTTTTTTTCTTAATGTAAAAAATTGCAATATAAAAATTCGAACTCTTGACTTTTTGGTAACATTTTCTTTTCTTGTTTTTCATTTCCAATTTTCTTAAGAAATCTAAATATCTTTCAACTAATTTTGTTTCTTCTTTTTTGGAACATTCTCACAGTTGTATAGAAATTTTGGAAACAAAAAAATGGTTTTTATCATACTTGAATTCTTAAAGCTTAAAACCATGTAATACATTTTTCTTCATTAAAAATAAAGAAACAGAAACAAGAAACAGGAGCGTTACCAAACGAATCTTAGTTTTGAAAGGAGAGAGAGAGATTTGGTATTACATTCTCGAGAAACTTGAGTACACCCATTAATATACCTGGAGTCCGGAGAAAAGGGTGGCAAAAATTTAATGTGATATTAGAAAAACCATAAAAAATACTAAAATAGTAGAAACTAGAAAGTACCCCAATTGTGCATCATATTATATATAGCAATATGTCGATTTGGTGGCAAATTCCAATAGGTGAATTGATTAAAATAAAATCGAAAATTTAAATGGATCTAGACCCATGTGGCCATTTGGTAGTATAAGTATAAGGACTATTTCAGATTTTGAAAACAGAATCCCCATTCCCAAAACTCTCTCGAGTTCCTAAAATTTTAGTCTCTTCTCTTTTCTTCTGATCTTCTCTTGCCTCCCCTGATTGGGTAAGTATGGAGTTGGCCTGCTTTGAATCTCCATTTCCATTTGATCAAGTGGAGGAGCTGTTCCCTCTTCCTTCTCTTTCCAGTTTAGATATTCCTGTTCCCACGCTTCCCTTCAGCTCTTCCATGGAGAAGAGTAGTGATAATAATGTCTCCCAAAAGCCCAAAAATGGCCGCCGGCGAAAGTCTCCCAATAACACTACTTCTGACGACGCCGGCTGCTACAACAACCCTAATGAACACAAAAAGAAGAAGATTATCCACAGAGACGTGGAGCGCCAAAGAAGGCAAGAAATGTCCACTCTTTACGCCAATCTTCGCTCCCTCCTCCCTCTGGAATATCTCAAGGTAAATCTCACTTCTGTTTAGTTCTTAATCTTTTAAAATTCTGATATTTTCGGTCTTGAAAATAAGCTTCACGCCCTCTAAATCACTCTCTTCTTGGGTCGGACTTTGCGGTAAGAATAATGTTACTCTAAGTACTTCAAATATCTCCACAATGATAAATATTGTCCGCTTGGATCATAGTTCTTGCGGTTTTACTTTTAATTTCACCCAAAAAATCTCGTAATAATTGTCATCGTCTATATATCATGGATCATGCTCTCCGTAGTCCATACGAAACTTTGTTTGCATTCCCCTCATTAATATTCATGACTTACATTTTTTTTTTTCAACGTGGGATCCTTGACATGTCCTCTAAAGATCATGGTTTTTCTTGGTTCATTGATTTTGGTGGGATTTTATTTTTAGACCGAATCTTCGTTTAAAGATTTTGGACTCTGATACCATATTAATATTCATTAGATTCAATCTCAAAACTAATTAACGAGTAACTCATGTATATTATAAACTTTTGTAAGTTCTTTTTTTTTAATGTGAAATCTTTTTACACATCTCAGACACCGTACAAACCCTAACAATTTGTTGGTGTCAATATCCAAAATGACATACCTATGCGTCATAATTTGATGATTCGTATTTGACATTATGATTTGTAATTGGGGTTGGAACAGGGGAAGAGGTCGATTTGCGATCACATGCAGGAAACAGTGAAATACATACAGCATACGCAGGCCAATATCCAGAAGCTTTCCAACAAGAGAGATGAGCTGAAGAGGCTCTCCGGCCACGACGATGCCGCCTCCGACACTGCTACCATCGAAACGTTAAACTCCTCGAAAAGGGACTCTGTTTCCGTGGCAGTGAACCAAAAACAGGGAGGAGTTCAAGTTGTTCTTCACACTCCCACCCACCATGGCCTTCCCCTCTCCACCATTCTGCAGGCTCTAATAGCACAAAAATTCGACATTCTCAGCTGCATTTCCACCAAAGTAAACGACAGCTTCCTCCACACCATCGACTCCCAAGCTGCAGCTCTAACCAATGTCGACGTGTCGGAACTCCAACATAAATTGACCAACTTGTAATATTTTCCTTCTCATTAATTAGGGATTCATAAATAAAGCATTCCATTCCTCATTTTTCGTCTTTGCTTACTTTGCTTATTACACTGAAAATAGAAACACCAACTCCAACTCGGTTGAGTGAATTAACACAAAAAAGAAAGAAAAAATAAGAGGTCCAAATCATGTTTAGCAACAAAAGAAATAGACACAAACGTAAAAATATAATTTTTTTTTTAAATAATGAGTTGTCAATTTTATAATTATGACGAGAATAAAGTAGAACAACTTGATAGTTGAAATGTTCATAATTTTAAAGTCCAAGTTTGAAAGTTTGTTTTTTGATGGACAGAGAAATTGCATAAAAGGGAAAAGAAAAACAAAAACTAAAAATGTCCGTTTTTTAAGGCAAGAAACTGACTTTTTGTTCCGACCGTAGGCAAGAATATTAATTGGTTGGTTCAACCATTAATTGCATATGTACATGTATATTTATAGATAGTTCGTGAGGAAGTTGTGCGAATAAAATAATGCAACTGTGAAACGTGAGATCTAATTGAAAATCGTGACAAATTATAGTACCAAATGTTCAGTGGGAGATCTGGTTCATTTATGGCCTTGCTCTGGTCCACCACCAATAATTTCTCACCACCCCTAATTTCTCAATAACAAAACAATGATGGGAAATTTCTAGCTTCTATTATCAATAAATGACTTCGAATAAATATACGAGTATTTTCAAATTCTAACTTTTTTTTTCTAATAGGACACGTCACCTATATTTTAGTCGAAAATAGATGTTAAGGGATTACAAAAATTTTAGAGAAAATAAACAAAAGTAAAAAATAAATAAAGTTGGAGTGTGGCAAAAATTTTAGAAAAAAAAATTTTTTCTTAAAATTTAAGGTGAAAATAAGGTGATAAAAAGAAAATTAAAACAATAACCCTTTAGCAACATCCATTCTCAGATTCCAAAATCCCTTATAAATTATTGTCAAACATTTTATTTTCAAATATAAGTGATTTTGCGTCCTTGTCAAAATCGCTCCCAAACATTATTTTAATACACTTTGTACTTTACATCTATTTTCAGGTTGATCAATAATTAAAATCTGACCATTATTTAATTCTTCTTTAAACAGAAAAGATATCTTTTTACCCAACTACAATTTTTCTTCTTTATTGTTGTTATTTTCTTTTAATTTCTCAATTTATCGTGGAAGTATGAAATCTTTTTTTTTTTTTTTAGTATATCATGTTGGGGAGGGGATTCGAATTCACAACCTATTGGTTAGAGGCATATGTCAATTACCGCTAAGCTATGCTCGTTTTGGCATGAAATCTTTTTTCAATACAAAGCAACGAAAACTCATTTAAGAAAGAAAAATATATTATGATACAATGTTTTAATGGAAATGGAATTTTTGGGATGCATCAAATCTCAATGATCCAAAAAAATTTATGTCAGCATATCTTTCTGCCATCAACACCGACGAACTAAACCAAATTAATTGTCTAATTTTATTTCCACCATGAATTATCATTCCTCAAATCCAACCCTTTATTTCATATTCAGAAAAGGCAAAGCATGTGCTTTAATTTAAAACGAATGCCTCCAATAGTTACCCAGCTGGACAATTTTGAAAAATTATTCCCAAATACTATAGTATTTTAGAATGTGTATGTCTGCTCTTATTCATAATTTGTCATATAAAACATTAAGATATTTGTGTCTTTTTCTTTTTTATTTTTTGAAAAATAACTGAGGTCATGTTTACTTCAACGAATGGGAATGAGAACGAGAACAAAAAGTGAGAATCAATTTGTGTGGGGTCCTACCATTATTCCTACAAATTTTTTTTTTCTTCTCAAAATAAAAAAAATTGTAAGAATAATGGTGGGACCCACACAAATTTTCATTTTGAGTAAGACAATTTCATTAATTTCCTACCCGTTCATCAATCTCAATTCTCATGATTTATTATGTGACCCCACACTTTTATTGCAATCTTTGAGGCCTATAATTATTTTAATTAATTGTTTTATACTTCTGTTATTTATTTTTCATTCGTGCTACTACAAATTTTATTATAATAAAAATTTATACTACTATCATTAGTTGATGTAATTTTATTATAGAATATTATAAATTTATATTTAATTTTTTAATTTTTTAATTTTACTTTGTTATTATTAATTAATATCAATAGATTTTTAATAATAGAATTCATTACTCTTAAATATTATAATAATAAAATTTAATAATATCAAGGATGATGATTTATAATGAAAAAGTAGTTTAGTGGGTGTAGTTTTAATTTAATTATTTATTAATATTAAATAATTTGATATAATAAAAAAGATTTATTTCAATAATATAGTAATAAAATAAATTGAAATTTATTATTATAATAATTAAAAAAAGATTCGTATTTGTAATTAGTTAGAAAGAAAAAATAGGTTATATATTTCGATTCCAAACGGTTTTAATAAACAATAATTTTGATTCCGATTCCAAAATATTTATGATAAACAACATAAAAAGAATAACATTCACATCCAGATTGATTTAATTACGATTGATTTTCATTCTAATTCATGTCCCATTCAATTCAGGTAAACAATGTCAAAGATATTTTTATTATTCAGTTCGCGAGTGGCTAGCCTAAGGCAAAAAGAGACCTATTAAGATAAATAAATGATCTATACGAAATCTAAACGAAATTTTTTAATGAATAAAAAAATTAGAGTAAGATTCACGTATCAAATAAAACAAGTTTCGATGATGTAAGATATAACTTAAAATAAACTTGAATTATTGATCTGTATCATATAATAATGCTCAAAATAGATAGTGATTTAGAATCTTTAAGACCCCAACTCACTGCATTATTTATTTATTGTTATTATTTTAAAGAATTTTACTGACTGTATTATACTCATAATTAAAATCATATAGCATATAATATTTTGTCCAAATTAATATAATATTAGTTTGTTTTAGTTGCTGTTTTTATAACATTTTATTTAAATCATGCTAAAAAGATGAGATTCTTTTTTTTTAATGTAAAGACGAGAGAAAGTAATTAATATCACTAAATCTCAATATTTTATATCAATGCATCTAAAGTTATATATATGAATTTTTGCCCTGACATAGAATTCTAGATTTGTCATCGGAGGTATGAGATTGACTCCCAATAAAGATAATCACCAATTTATTTGAATCAATCACATAAAGCAAAATTATACCATTATTTATGTTAATAATGAAAATAAGTTTGCAACTACATATTTTATTTGAATAAAATATTGTTAGTGGTTGAAGACTATTTTATAGTATAAAAAATTCTAAAAGAGGAGTATCTGATTCGTAGATTTGCTAAACTTGAATTGATTAAGTATGAGTTGTTAAGTCTTGATTTGTTAAGTTTGTGTTTCGTTCGTAGAAAATAAGTATGTTAAGTATGAGTTTGTTAAACATGTGTTTAGTTGGACAGAAAATATAATAATTCATATATTAACTATTTGATTGAAATAATTAAAAATAAATTAACATTTTTGTTTTCCGATGAAATTATGAAGTATACTTTTCAGTATCACTAAAAAAAATCAATACATTTGTTACTTAATTTTTTTTCAATAATTGTTTTATGCAAATTTATCCACGTTAATTTACCACAAAATCTGTTTTTTTTTTCCTTTCTTGCTATACTAACTATATTTATTTATTAATTACCATCAAAATTTCTATTAAACTTAACTTTTTTCTCACGTAGTCAATGATTAAAAAGTAACACATTTTAAATAATAATTATTTAAAATATTAAATTCATTCATGGTATAAAATATATTTATTTAATTAATTATGCTCATTTGACTTTTATATTGCACTAGTAAAACGAGTTTTATAAAATTATGGATTTATAAAAATAAATTATTTAAAATAAAACAATCTAGATTATTTATATATATGTGATTAAAAATATAATAATATTTATTTAGTAACTAATATTTTGAGTATAAATATTTTATTTTTAATAAAATTATTAATTTAAATTCTTTTTAATAACTATTGTGTGATTTAAATATTTAATTATTTTTGTTATTGATTTTTTAAAATATTTTTCTAAGTGTGTACATAAATTATTGCATATATTGTTTGAAAAGAAAATTATTGTAGATAAATTTATTATTATAATTTCTCTAAAACATGAAGTTTATAATGGGGCGTAAATGAAATAGTTAGGTTGGTTTTTGTCAAGGTCGACATATAAATTTAAGATAATTGAACTAAGTTACCGTTATAGTTCCAACCGATCAAATTAACTCAATTTGGCTAATTTATTCATTTTTCAATTTTAGCTTTCACTCATAAAGTTTGCGATTAAAATATTTTTGTCGTTATATGAATTTTTTTTTTGGAATCATCTATATATGAATTAATAATTTATTACTTGCAATTTTAATTAAATTCATTTACTTATTTATTATTAAAATTATAATTAATTAATTTTCTTATTCAACTAATATATTTTATAAAAAGTTAATGCATTTTAGATGAGAGATAAAAGATTAAATATGAAATGTAGTAATTCAAAAGAATATTGATAAAATACTGTAACAACTTAGGAAATAGTGATAAAGTACTGTATTAAATTGGGAGTAAAATAGTATTTATCATAGGAAATTAGATTTATAAAACTGTAAAACAAACGTTGGTTTATCTCAACAAATCTTACTTCTCGTTTTGGAAACAAAGAACCAAATTACGCCCGGTACTTCTTGAGTTGTCAAAATTTACCTTCTATTCAAGGAGTTATTTTTTTAATCTTCGGGAGAGAATTTATCAAAAAAGTTAAATGATAGTTTTTTTTCCTTGGGGTTGATGAGAGTAATTTTTTGTAGTCATTAAAAATATCATTATCGTTTTTGTTTATACTAACTCCTTAAATGTATTCCAAAAAAATATTAACACCTGGATTTTCCTAGTACTCCATATTTTATTTTATAGGTGGTTTTTTCAAGTATAACAAATGTAAATATGAGAAATTGAACCTACAACTTCTAAAATACTCTTAAGTTTTGTTTTTCTACCGAAAGAAAATAAAAACATCTACGATAACACACATCACATGGCCGCTGGTTCTTATTAATATCAATTATAGATTATATCGTCCAATGTATAAAAATAATTAATAGCAAACCATTCCATTCAATAAGAATATGAATTTAAGATGATATAAAATCCTCTTCACATCATAAACATTGAAAACCCATTAAGAGGAATTAAATGAGATATAACATCAAATAAAAACTCCACCAGACTTTGTGTAAAAATGATGATGGATATAATTTTGATTACGGAAAAAATAAATCTTTTGTTGTTGAGAAAAATAAATGAAGCCGAAGACATAGCTCTTGAGCCAAGAGAATTGAGTCCAAACCTATATTTTTTTTCTTCTTATTCAATATTCGGCCGCCACTTATATATAAATGGAGATAGATTTTCTTACAGGGGAGGAGAGGAGAAGGAAGTTTCAAGAGCTTGAAGAAATAAGAATGAATTCATGAAAGTTTTTCTTTGACAGAGAAACGAGAGAAATTATTATAGGGTGATTGTAATCTTTATGATTTTTTCCCTTATCGGGTGAATTAGTATAAATTTGATGTCAATTTTCTTTCTTAATATATTTTATCATTCTTGTTCTTTTATTTTATTTTGATAAAAACTTATCGTTCTTGTTGTTTAAAGTTTCCCTTGGATTGTCTTTTTTTAAACTTAGTTTTAACTTTATTTACTTTGTTGTAAATTGAAACAACATCTCCCTCGAAATTAGTTAGTATAATTGTTGGCTTTTGATTGAGATAATATATAGTTGTCTGAGTTAGCTATCGAAAGATATAAATGAATGATGTAAATGTGATGGCGAGATAGCACATCTCTAATGTAACACCACACATTGGAGAGAGAGATCTATTTGTTAGAGATGGAGACCTCTTTTGTTGCCTTTCTCAAAATTCTGCCTTAAATTTATGGATGGGGAAATGAGAAATTTGCCTAATTGGTTGAGGGAGAAATAATTGTATTTAGTACAATAATAGCCAAGATGGCTCTCGAATCTTCGATTCGAAAAGATGGAAATTTGTCGCTTACTAAGATGATCTTCCCGGCCCTTCTCTTGATAGAGGACTAGATCGCCTCCAATGGATTCATTCAAGCAATGGCTTATTCACTGTTAAATCATGTAAATCCATCCTCTCATCCTCTGCAATAGTGCAAATAGATTCCATTTAAAAAACGTAAAGTCTTTATTTGGTGCATCCTTCATCGTGGTCTCAACACAAATAAAAAGCTCTAGAATCGTCTCCGATCAGTCGTCATTAGTCCCAATTGGTGTATTTTGTGCAAGTGCAATTCTGAATTTCTAGACCACCTATTTCTTCATTGTCCCTATACGGTGAACCTTTTGACCCATCTTTTTGGTATTTTCAATATTTCCCTTCCTCTACTTGGGCACATTGAAGACTTCATCAAGGAAGCTCTTACCTTTAATAAGGAAAATAGGAGGGAAATTATTTGGAGCAATGCAATAGGTGTGATTCTCTGGAACGTTTGGTTGGAGCGAAACAACCGCACATTTTCGGATGTCTCTAGACCTTGCGCTTATCTATGGGACGATTCTTTGATCTTAGCCTCCTCATGGTCTTCCAAATCTCCTCTATTATGTAATTATACTCTTTCTACCATTTCTCTCAATTGGAATGCTTTTATATAGCATCGTCATTTTGTATGTTCCTCACATACCTACTTATACTTAATGAAATGGTATCCTTTCAAAAAAAAAAAAAAAATTTTGATAGGCTAATGTATATCTTCTACTTTCTTTAAGAAGTCATAAATTGGAATTCTTGCCTCATTTTCTTGATGCAATTTAAAATTAAAACAAAAAGGACACAAGTAAGCAACTATCAACATTGATAATGGAAGATTCTTTCCGGGATGTTTAACAAAAACGAAAGAAAGAGAGCAAATTAAATAGGGGTTTAAATTCCATGTCGATCCCTAAACTTTTAAAATGTCTATTATAGTGTTCAAATTTTGAGAAAATAACTTTTTTGGTGGTCCCTGACCTTCGTAATAAACTTCTTTTAATACAACATATGAGTATGAAAATTCGAATTCGTAACATTTTGATCATGCCCTAATACCACTTGAACTATGCTCAACATCACAACATTTTTAACTCTTGACATTCTTTTAATATTTTGTTGATTTTCACGATATTATGAAAAAAAATGTCGATTAAACTCTTATGTGAGCATCGAATCACTTACATATTGAAACATCAAAGGTGAAAATTGATTTCTTCTGTACTAGGGGAAATCTCTAGTGGGGCATTTTAGGGATTTGGACAGAAGATTGTCACCTAGGGATAGGGCATCAACACCAAACCCCCCTTCACGATCTCTGTGTGAGAAGGTCATAAAACTTAACCATGTGTTATTAATTTGTCAAAATCAAAATAAATACAATTACCCACCAAGTACTGTTCCACTATTTACGCACAGTAAGATCTCTTTTTACTGTGGTACAATAACAGAGCGGAGTGGTCTCCGTCAGTCGTCTCATAAATGATTCGGACAAAATTTCTCAGCTTTCTCAGGAATCTGTCCTTTTTCCACACCATAAAACCAAGAGATAAGGCAATTTGGAACCCAAAAAAAAAAGGAAAAAAATTCTTGTGGTTTTAAATTAGGTTGTTGATAGAAAATAACACCCAGAAAAACAAAGCTCAGTGGTTTGGTTGATTAATGGATTGCAACGAGGTTTTTGACAAGGCAGATGAGCTTTTTCCACTTCCTCCTCTTTCCTCTTTGGATTGTGTCTCTGTTCCCCAGTTTCCCCTGCTGTCTTCTCCCATGAAGCCCAAACATGGCCGCCACCGTAAGTCGCCGCCCTGCACCTCCGACGATGTCGCCCACGGCAACCCCAACGAGCTCAAGAAGAAGAAGATTATCCACAGAGACGTGGAGCGCCAAAGAAGGCAAGAAATGTCCACTCTTTACACTGTTCTCCGCTCCCTTCTTCCTCCTGAATATCTTAAGGTAATTAATTCTCAAACCTCGGATTAAAGTTTTCGTTTTTAGTGTTTTATGCCATCTTTATACCCGAGTAAATCTTTGGGATATAAATGTTAAGACAATTTACGTGTATGCCAAAAAAATTTTAACTTTGCTTGTGGTTTTACCCAAAACAGCCCTGTCTACGCAGTTAAGATACGTTTGATTGAAGTATAATAAGATATGGTTGATGGTTTTTTTGTTATTTTAAAAAGGAAAAAATATATATTTTCCTGCCTATCTCTCTGGACACTTGTCAAAAAGAAAATTTTTCTAAATGATAGTTGGTAAATTTTTTCAAAGACTTCACATATTTATTTGTTTTTTTAGTACGACTGCGTTGAGGGTGGGGATTCGAACTCTCGTTCAATGTTAAGATACATGCACTTTGTTGAGTACACATGTACTGTTTTTCAAAGGTTTTCAGTAACTTTCAATAAAAGTGGTTCAAAACAGCTTCATTTTCTTGCAGAACAGGGGAGTGCTGCAGCTTTTTTATAAGATGCTTGTAATTTCTCTTTTCTAAACCCACTGTTTTGTAGTTTCTCCCTCATTTCACACTTATTCTCCCATTTGAATATTCACTGAGTTGCATCTTAACGTGGATGGACAATAAGAGTAGCAACTCATTTATTTATTTATTGAGAAGGAAAAGAAATCCCAACTCATAACAGTTAGCATTTTTTCCTCAACAGGGAAAGCGGTCGATATGCGATCACATGCACGAAACGGTGAAATACATTCGGCAAATGCAGAGCCGGATTTGGGAGCTGTCGGAGAAGAGAGACGAGCTGAAGAGGCTCTCCGACAAGGGTTCGGCCACCACGGTGGAGACGCTGAACGGCTCGAAAAAGGACTCGGTCGTGGTGAGGCGGAGAAGCGGAGGAGTTCAAGTTGTGTTACATACTGCGATCCGACACCGGCTGCCCGTTTCAAATGTGTTAGAAGCTGTAGTTGCGGAAGGGCTTGAAATCGTCAGCTTTAATTCCACCAAAATTAACGACAGGCTCCTTCACACTATAGAGTTAGACATTGGCAGCGCCCAAAGAATCGACATCTCCGAGCTCCACCATAAGCTCACCAACTTGGAATATTTCCCATTGGATTAGCTTCCTAAGCCAACTTAGTTTCTTGTTAGAACACGTTCTCTACATGGTACGGAATGTTATTGTCCATTTTAAATATAAGCTCTCTTTATCTAGACAATGCGAGACTTTGATCACATTTTATAGGTACGCAATTAAAAACTGAAATAATATTTAAACGAAACTTTACATTTTATCGAATGCACCAAATACAACTAGCTGACATGTTAGAATCTGAGCCGCCCCAGTTTGGTGAAGCAGAAAAAGTTGGAAGTTCCCTCTTTTCAGCTAACGGGTTAGAAAAAAAAATTGTTGGGGAGTAAAGAAAAAGAATAAGGACAATAATGGGTAACTTTCCTTGGATGCTGCCATTGAGTTGAAGAATCAGAAGACATGGAAAAACCCCAACAAGGGGAGTAGAATTTTAATTCTTACATTTAAATATTTCTCGTCCCTATGCTCCATTTAATTTTTCATCCCGTGAAGTTTCCTTCGAAGTTTCGTGGGGTTGAAATAGGAATTCTCGTGAAGTATTTACTGAGATCAGGTCCTCCACAATAATTATTATTTCCTATTTGTTTTCTTTAAGAAATTCTAAATTAAAAGTAATTTTTTATGATAAATTTTCATTTGAATGGATAAAATGAATTTTGTTAAATTTTCAAAAACCATCTCATGATTCATTAGAAATATCACAATACAACAAATCATAAAATGTAAATTTCAAGATTCAAATTATTAATATATAAATCCTCAAACGTACCGTGTAAACACACAACAATAATTTCGTAAACCAAATAAATATAACATAATTCAGCCATTACAAATGATTCAAATCTTTCTCCAAAACATCATTCACAAAATCACAATAAATAAATAAATATACTTAAAAGAGGGAGAAAAAAAATAGAGGAATGAAGGGCTCGTTTGGTAACGTTCCTATTTCTTTATTTTTAATTAAGAAAAATGTATTGCATGATTTCAACCTCCAAGAATTTAAGTAGGATAAAACAATCTTTTTATTTATGTGTTGGAACAAATTGAAAATGAGAACCAGAAAAGCGAGAATGCTCCAAAAAAAAAAAAAAATAATAAGAAACAAAGTTAGTTCTAGAAGGTTTAGATTTTTCTTAAAAAATTTGGAAACAAAAACAAGAAATAGAAATAAAGGGGTCTAAAATATCTTCCATCCAACCCGTGGGAAGCCTAAAGAGGGAATTTCATACCCTTGTGTAGGGTTGGTCCCTGCGTGACCTATCTTGTGGGGGAAAAGTAGCATCCCTAGTGGTAGGTCATGTCGATGTGTCGATAAATGAATGGGACTGAGATAATTTTGTAATACGATGTAAATGTGATGGAGGAATGTATGGAATTGTGGAGTTGGTGATCTGCCACATTCAATGGGTGAAGGGCCATCCAAAGACATATCATTAAAAGTCAATTAAGGTAAAGTTGAAGTGGACAGAAGCATCGGTTTACATCTCTAAATTTGATGGTTCGATTTTCTATCCAACACGGAAAGCAAATTATTTTATTTATTTGTTATTTTCTTTCTCCTAAAGGTTGAAAGTAAAATGGTTGATAAAAGAAAGATACAAATTATAACAAAATAAAAGCATGTTTAAGGCTGACAAATAGGTCATGAGTTCGAATCACTAAAAAAAATAACTACCTAATGACGTGACACTCCACTGACGAAACATCTAATTTTCCAAACAATTTTAAATTATGGTCGTCTCTTCAAGATAGGATCATCTGCTCGCACAAGTAGGTCATCTTGCATGGACGCCACGTAGGTTTTAAAAATGAAAATAAAGTAACTATTAAAATTTAAAGAAGCAGTTGATTACCAACAAAGTGTTTGACGTGGTGGACTTTGAGTCCGAAAATGTGGCGTCAATCGAGCGGAACGTCTACAGAAGAGACGACCATCTATTTTGCCGCTTCACATGTCGTCAAGAGATATTATCTATTTTACATTATTCTTGAAAATAGGTTGTGTAAGGATAAATTTCTGGAATAGATTTAAAAAAAAAAACATTATTAAAAGAAATCCTTTTTTCCTTCGGTATCATTGATTTAGTTTCTGGCTTTCTACTATCTGCCAAAAGTTATAAAAGATCACCGACTACAAAACTCAGTGGCTTACATAGAAAGGAGACGGATGAAAAATTTATGAAAGAAACTTTTTTTCTTTTGTGGAACGAATATCGAGGTACTTTGATTATTTTTTTTTTCATTTTTTATTTTTTTGAAAATAGATTACATTAAATTAAGCCTCTTGGGCTAAAGAAGAAGGAGATCTCCCTTAACCATCTCCACTGGCCATCGCGGGAAGTTAGGGAGCCAAATACAAGTAGCAGTAGATGAAGAACCCATCCTTGCCAGCATATCAGACAGTTTATTACAATTTGGTGGGGAATTGGGGAAAAAATAGATTGGAAAAAAACAGCTGGGGCTTTCATTTCCATAACCCAATTCATCTCATCTTCTAAAGAAAGAAGCTCTCTACGAATTAGACGAATAGCCATGAGTGAGTCGGAATCCACCTGGATATGAGAAAAATTTAGAAAAAGGGCTACCTAGAGACCTTCAATAATCCCTCTAATTTCAGCGAGCAAACGAGGTACTTTCGTTTTAATGGTTACAATGCTTAGTTGTTTTCAACATTTTAACTTTCGATTTAATAAAGTTATCACGGAGGGGAAAAGGCCAATTATTTGATACGTACCGCTCCTAACTTTTCTTTATTTGAATGTTGTATTTGAACATTTATGACACCTTATCTTTTATTAAAGATTTATAAATTGATGTATTAAAAAAAGTTGTAAATTTGAATCTACCTCCTCACATATTGTATTAAAAAAATATTTATTTTTATTTCGGTGCTTTTAGAATAATTATTTTTAGACTTTATGTATATTTTTTGGTTAATTTTAGTCATTATATTTTCAGAAGGTCGATTTTAATTTTATATTGTTTAAAGGTGACCATCTTAATTATTTTATTCTCATTTTTATCTCCTTCTTTCTATTTTAATTTAGAATTTGCATTGGATCCTTTTTCTCTCTCCCCCTATTTTCTCTCTTATAGTTTCCTCTCTTCATCTCTCTACTTTGTCACTCCCATTCTCTACTGTCTATACTTTGAACTCGGTTTGGTATGGTTTGGTTTTTTCTTTTTCCTCACGAATGCAACAAAATAGAAACGGAATCATAATCATCAAACTATGCCAAACCTAAGGNGCACAAATATGTCTTTGTCGCGGTTCAGATTCAGAAAATTGAAATTAACAGCATTAAAGAGTTCTTCCATGAAAATAGAGAGATTGAGAGAGGAAGTAGAGATGAGAGAGACCAACATGACCAAACTTTTAGATTTTAAATGTTGGAAGGTTAACATTTCAGGCTAAACTGAAAAAGAAAAAGTATTCATCTGTTTTACACTTACTTTTAATATCAGTTTCAAAAAGGAACAAACGTCTGTTGGTCTTTTGAATGGAAGATTGATGAGGAAGAATTTGATGACATGACAATTAATATCTCAATTTTGTCATAAAATTCTTCTTCAATTATTGTCAAGAGAATTTGCTTCTTCATTGTCTACCTAATTAGTCGTAGTTCCAATTAAAAAACATAGTTTCTTTAACATTTTTTTTTCAAATTAAATTTTGGTAGACTTCTTTATTTATTACCACGTTGCTACAGATTTTGTCAAATCAAATTTTTATTAAAAAAAATATTATAAAAGATATATCGGGATGGTATTGAAATTTTTAAAAGGAGTTTTTGAAAAGATTGAGATAATTTTAAGTAGATAGCAAAGTTTTTTTTTTCTTTTAATATAACTTAATTTTCATCCTACAAAATTTATAGGCTTATAATTTTTTACGATTAAAAGTTATTGAGTGAAATTGTAACAATAATTTATTATTTTATAATTTTATAATTTTTTCTTGTAGAAATGAACAAGTTATAAAAATACACGCTTTCGTCGCGCGCACGAAGATAAAAACAATAACTAAAATAAAAAACACACATTTCATGCGTTCGAAGAAAATATATATGGCAGGAATCATGTTTGGCGTGTGAATGAGACGAAGCGTGTGAATAAAAAAAAAAAATTTATAATTGTGTAAGTTGTGGGTATAATAAATGAATAGAAAGGTGGAATCTTTGTGTAATAAATTATAGTAGAAGGATACGGCCATAATATGGTTTTTTCTCTCTCTTTATTATAACTCAGTGGAAATAGGGCAAATATATAATAATTGCGTTGTTGTCATTTATTGAATTGAAAGGTAGTTGAACTATCGTTGATAGATGAAAAGTAATTAATTGATTAACTATTCTCATAAAAATATTGATGAATTATTAAATTTTGTTCTAAATTAATTTGAATTTGGTTGTTTTCATTATTAATTTGATTTAAATGTACTAGCTAATTTATTCTTTTTTAATATAACAATACGTGGATATGTAGATTTGAATTTACGACTTTTTGATTATAGATAGGTATCTTAACTAGGTGAATTAAGTTGATCCTGACTACCTAATGTAATTTATTGATTATAATTAAACAATATAAATAAATATGCACAAAAAGAGAAAAAAAGGATAAAAGAATGAAATGAAACTAAGAGAGATCTAGAAATTTGATCGTAAGCAAAAGAGAAACTTATAATTTGGAATAGTTTATTCAGTGAGTTCAACAAATATACCGATGGGTAGTGGCGGATCCAAGATTTTACGTCGGAGGTATAAATGCGTAGAAACATGATGCAAAAATATCAATTTTAAACTTGAACTTGGCAATCTGTATTTTTTACAGTGAATTACGCTCAAGTCAGTAATCGGAGTAAAGAGATAGGGGTAGACACCTTAAGTATAATAGTGGAAGATTTTTCACTTACTTGGTAGTGATGGGATCCTTCCACACGGATGGCCAACCAGGAAGGATGATAGTTATGAACGCAAGGCCATGTCAAGCTGTACGGGGTCATGATGGGTAAGGGTGGGTGCCTCCAACAATCGGTGGGTGGTGCCTCCGACTATCGATTTGTCCCCCTGCAACCGCACAGTGTTTAGGCCACAGTCCTCGTCGCTCTACCCGTACAACTCT